GAGCCTGAGGACCTGAGCGGAATCGGTGGATTTGTGGCCTCCCAAATCGGCGTAGAGAAAAGGAGCGGATGGCAGGGAAGTTATGGGAAGGATTTCGAAGTGCTGTATACCAGTTAAAAGGAGTTGGAATTCATAGGAATTCAATTTCTAAGTTCATAGGATGAACAATTTATTCAAGTTCTAAGTAATTCAGGAGTCAGAAAAAACTGCAGTGGGGTCGTGCAGATTTGGGGATACCATTGGGGAAAAGTCAGAGGTTCCAGTGGCACAACAGTTGTCTCTAAGGCATGTGGAGCTGCCGTTAATCCCACCAGGTGTGGTGGATGGAACGGGGTGAATGAACGGTGCGAGTGAAGTGCAACCCCAAGTTCTCAAACTACCCATATACATATATATGTATACATATATATATATTTATTTACATAAACATATATTTGACCCACAATGTCGCTTCTTCCAAGTTCGGACCCACTGCAACCAGATTTCGCGCCAGGACAAATCACAGCAACAGGACAGCCAGAAAACCCAAGCGGATGTGCGTAACGGGCAGATTGGAACCTACCAATCCCATGACGGGGATTTTTCTTACCAGCCATTCCATGGGACATCCCAGATGGAACTAGGTATGTTTGTACATATTTGTAGTGAAATTGAATATAGCCAGAGGCTGGTGGCAAGGGTTTATGGCGAGCTCGAATCAGAAAGATTAGAACGTAATGATCCCGTTGGTACCTGAGATTGTGGATTGAGTGGTACCCCACCTGATCCAACGAACATTTGGTGCCAGTTTTGCTGAACTGATTGGTAACCCTGGTCGTAGCCGCATTTTTCAGGCCTAAGGTCAGCTGGCTTAGTTGGTTTCTGACTCTACCTGATGATTAAAGTGTGTTCAAATGCCATGATCACCCACCCATGGGTAGTTTTCCCAGCCATCCGTTACCATCCACTTCCGCCGTCCTGAGGCTACAGCCGAGCAACAGCGGCGAATCATCGGACTGTGGGGTGGGCTGCGCAAGGTGAATGTTCCGGATTGGTTCGTTTGTAGATAAATGGTGGAATTCAATATATCTTGCCGATTTTTTGTGGTTTTAAATGTTTTTCCAGGGGATCTAGGGCTCACCAGTGCGGTCAGAACCCAAAATGGGGGAACATTCCTTGCTGCTCTCATTTTTTGGGTATGTTCTTTCATCATCCAATGATTTCTTCCGGCAGAAGATTCGAAAACTCGGGTGAGTGTATGGAAACATGTCGTGTCATATCCTGGGACACTAAGCATGAACTTCGAGGTCAGCCATGAAGACACTCCTCATCCTTGCAGGACAGTACGAGAAAGCCTTGAAGGCAGGAAATCAAAATAGCTCGATATTGACTAATACACGTTTGTGGGTATATCAGAGTAGCCATGGTAGGGTCTGTCTGAAATTAATTAAATTGATTTGTTCTTCGGTGTTCAACCGGCGGTGGCAGACATTGAAGATGCTGTAACTTAATACTTGTTGGCTGAGTCTGATTGAAAGATCAGAAAAATGGCAAACACCAAAGAGAAAAAGATAAAAAGGGAGAATTCAATTGAAAACACTTCAGTCTGGCTTGTTTGTCAGAAGGCAAGTCATCTTGCATTTGCAGGGCAGAGCAGATGGACAATTCCTTTGAAGTTTCTAGCGCTTCCCCCAGACACTAAGGATACACCCCATTTGGAAACTCAATGCGCTCACTTGCTTTGTTGTTTGTTGCGTCTAGTTGGGGGGAAAGATTTCTGGAAGTCGGTGCGTGCTGCGTCCAGCTGGTGTTTTGGAAGACATGGTTTGGAACATTGATATTTTTACCTGCGTTCTTGTAGGTTCGGAATTTCCCTAATGTGTCAGTTCCATTGGGAATTGGACTGTGTGACTGTGTTGGGTTTTCCCCTTTTGAAATTTGGAGATGTGGTTGTGTTGAAATGATGAGGGGGATTGGTGGCGAGGGGTTCCTTTTTTCCATTTTAGGGTATCGCCGGGGTATCGCCAGAGTATCGCCGGAATGCGTCCCATGCTGATTTGCATAATTTTGCACTGACTTCTGTGACTTCCTGAATGCGTAGCGTCCCATTGTGATTTGTTTTCAAATAGACGTTGCACTGACTTTCCCGACTGGGTGTACGGGCTTTGGCAGAGAGTGTGTGTGGCAGCCCCTGGCCCGTCATCCCGAATTCTTGTGGGCTCCAGCCGCCGGGAGACGGCCAGGCATTTCATACGGGAGACTTAACGCGCTGTATTCAGATTGCCGGGGCCTCACAGCGGATTTGGTCGTTTCAAGTTGGCTTGGGTGTACCCAAAACCTGGTTTTGAGATGTTTTGAAACTTTCACCAACAACTGTGATTGAACCAAGAAAGTGAGGGGAAATGTCACTGACAAAAATGCGACAGAAGCAGCAAGAATTGGGACTTTATGAATGCACTTTGGATGAGCAACAAGGAAGAAGGATACTACAAGCAACCGTAGCTGGTAGCCTTGCACGTGTCTTAATTCAATTCCCAGCTGGTTAAGGCAATTTATCATGGTTTATCCTTCTGGTGATGGCTTTTCCTATAGGAAGTGTTTGGATATGGCACCGCCAAGAACCCATCATTCGGAGACGACTCTTGCCCAGCTGATTTTCTGCGAATCGAAAGATATGAAATCAGGGGATGGTTTTTGTCAGTCCGCACATTGATTACGGATTCTTAGGTACCCATTGGTAATTTGACCTGCCAGTGAAAGCTACACATTTTGGAGGCAAAAATCCCTTACAAACAAGGAGCCAATCAGCAAATCAAGGAGTTTCCATGCCCACTGCAGCTGCCTCACAAATAAAAAGCACTTTGGCATGGTGGTTCTCCGAAGTAGGTACTGCTATCTGCAAATATGGTGCTGAATGGTGTCCAAGTGTTTTTTGTTCATTGGGAAACCCTGTTTTGCTGTAAATATTCCATTTTTTTGGTGGTTTCTACTCCCAGCGTTCTTCACCCTGGGTGACTCCACCGTGCTGCAACCTCCTGAAGCCCTGTTTGGGCAGGTGAATTGATTAGTGATCAATGGTTAGCCGTTTAGCTGTGAAAGGAAATGCGTGTTATTCCCATCTCACCGCTAGTTGTTTGAATCAGCCCAGTCTCATGAAGTCTCTCCAAGAGGTGCCGGGAGTTGTTTTTTCCATTTTTCCCAGGTCAATAAAGTCTTGGAGGAGAAAGAGGATCCACCCTCCCGGAAGCTTCTGGAGATTGCAGGAGTCCAACTTGGTGGGCAGATGGCTACAGCTTCACTGAACCAACTGATATCCTGTTGGCTCACCAGATATTGAGCTCTATCGGGGTGTTAAAACATTGCTTGAAACAGATGCTTTAACAATGGTAAAATGGTGAAAAATGGATGTCTGTAAGACAGGTGAGAAACTCTGTCTGATCTGAGGGTATAGCCGGTATAGCCCATGTTGCGATGGCACCATGCTAGCCCCAGTCCAGTGGAAGGGCCGCTTGGGATCAGGTCTTAGATCTTCAATGCCTTAGCTGGGTGGGTACACCATGAACCAGTTGATGTTACCCAAGTATTCTTGCTTCATATCATTGTATATTGTTTCATCTCCACATGCCATTGCATTCATTTCATATCCGCACCACTAATACCCCACCAGGTACAATCTATATATATATATTTATGTATACATACATATATAGATGCAGATATAGATATACATATACATCTATCCCCAGAATCCCCGCATTGATCCGATTTCACATCATTTTTCTTGGCGTTTTCAGTGTCTCATGGTGACGCATGACGTCAGGAGAGCGAATGAAGGCCGAAGGCACCGCCTCAGACGTGGCGGAGGCCTCGGCAGATCAGCAAAAAGAGATGCTGGAACTTTAAAGCCGAACAGCTGGCGATATGGAGGTTTCCGAAGTTATGGGAGTACCCGGTGAGTAGCCCGTTTTTATCATCCATATTTTTCCATTTGTTCGGGATTTTCCAACCATCCAGCTATTGGGGTACTCTCCTTTGATGGAAACCCCGATTTGAACCAAAATAGCTGTATTTGCAAACTCTATTCACATCCATGCATGGCAAAAACTTCCCGCCGGACCGGAAACCGTACGTGGAGTTATATGGATTTTCAATTTATCTTCTTTCGTCCATGTGATCAAAATCCTGTGCTTTCACAATGTTCAAACATCAGATTTTCTTAGCTGCACTGCGAATTACAGTGCGTTCTATGAAAAGGTGGCAAATACCATGCAAAATGACAGGTTTCAATTCCAAACTGTTGCAAATATAAAGCAAATGGTATCAGGAAAGAAATCAGAAAAAAAATACTTTACTTCGTGTGATCCCCACCATGACATTTATACATTTTCTTACTGGCAAATCTTCTGGCATTCTATCTGACATATCTTCTGACATTCTATTTGACATTCTATCTGGCATATCTTCTGGCATATGATCTGGCATATCTTCTGGCATTCTATCTGGCAAATCTTCTGGCATTCTATCTGGCATATCTTCTGGCACTATCTGACATATCTTCTGGCATTCTATCTGGCATATCTTCTGGCATATATTCTGACATATCTTCTGGCATTCTATCTGACATATCTTCTGGCATATATTCTGACATATCTTCTGGCATATCTTCTGGCATATCTTCTGGCATATCTTCTGACATATCTATCTGGCATATCTTCTGACATATCTATCTGGCATATCTTCTGGCATATTTTCTGGCATTCTATCTGGCAAATCTTCTGGCATTCTATCTGGCATATCTTCTGGCATATTATCTGGCATTCTATCTGGCATATCTTCTGGCATATCTTCTGGCATATCTTATGACATTCTTTCTGACATTCTTTCTAACTTTCTTCTGCACATTCTTTGTCCCATATCTTCCTACATGAGGTCCGGCAGGGAACACTTGGCGTGGATACTCGCCGTTGAGGTCCGGCAGGGAACACTGGGCGTGGATGGTCGTGGTTGAGGTCCGGCAGGGAACACTGGGCGAGGATGGTCGTGGTTGAGGTCCGGCAGGGAACATTGGGCGTGGATGGTCGTGGTTGAGGTCCGGCAGGGAACACTGGGCGGGGATGGTCGTGGTTGAGGTCCGGCAGGGAACACTGGGCGTGGATGGTCGTGGTTGAGGTCCGGCAGAGAACACTGTGGATCGCGGGTCGCAGTTGGACGAGGACGACGAGGACGACGAGGACGACAAGGAGGACGAGGAGGAGGAGGAGAGGAGGACGAGGCAGGAGGAGGCGGAGGAGGAGGAGCAGGAGGAGCAGGAGGAGGAGGAGGACGAGGAGGCAACTGACATAAAATCTAACAACCCTCACCTGGCAGGTGGGGAACAAGCCTGATCAAGAAAAAATCGTAAAACTATTCTTCACCCCTTTAGTTGTGTCTGAGTAAGTTGGGTACTCGGTCCATTTGGAGCCACAAATCTATGATGTGTCACCCCAGCAAGAAACTGCATTCTGAAGTGATATCAATTGGCAAAGTTTGCCCAAGCTCACAACATCGCATAAAAAAATGCAAAGCAATCATCTGGATCGGCGGAAAGTTGATGCGCCGTTGAGACCACAGCGTGCTTTACCCACAGATGTCCTTCACCACTGGTTGATAAGGAGGTATCCTCGCGAACGTGTGGATGGTAGATGATAGTCTGAACATGTCTTAACTAGACTATCATGTGTTTCCCCAGAAGGACATCATTGGTGTTACCACAGGCGAGGGGTTGCACCACGCCGGCGTGCAATGTCCGTGACTTGCTGGGTGGCAGATTCATTCAGCATCCTGAAGAATCCGTAGCCGTAGCCATCCATTTCCCACACCATGGCCTCTATCCACAGATCTATTTGCTTCTGTTTTCCATCCCAAAGTGTGGCGAGTGTCGTCGCTTATTATCCCTGACACATCACCTAAATGCTTATTATTGCCTTGCCTATATTGTCTCTGGTTGAAAGCACCAATCAAGGATTATGTTTTCTCTCATGCAGCAACCCCTCGAAAAACACCTTCGTGATTCTAGGCCCAATGCATGGATGTTTTTTGTGGGATCTTGCTTGTGCAGGAAATTGGGCTGATGATTGTCATGGCCTTGCCTTGGCTGGGTTAACCCCAGCACGTAAAGTTTCTTTTGCACGGTATCTAAGGTCAGCCACCTTTGGATCAGTTCATTGTGATGTTCTAACCCCGTGATGGAACATAGTGCCGCTGGAACAGAGGTACTTGCAGGATGCAAAAGCAAGTTTTGTTGATATCCCACGTATCAGGCTACAAGCTATTTGGATTTGGAATTGGAGAAGCATCTCCTCGTACCGGATTTGTCACCCAAAGACGCTGCGTGCCACCCCCGGCAGTTTCTGTTTCGACATTTGCGTTGCCTCGATTCTCGCAAAGAGATTCCACTCGCTAGAAATGTCGGCGGGGACCTGGGAAGCGGACCATTTCTGTGTTAGTTCAATCATCACTTGTCAGGGAAATAGTTTGGGAAAAGCATCCAAAAAAAGGCTATGTTTTTAAAATTGTCGCTTGTTGACACTTGGAGGTTGCTACCCTCATTGCATGGTCAAGATTAAAGCTCAACCAGAAAAGTTCCTCCTTTCACTGGTTCACATGACCTAAGGTTAGCCCATAAACCAGCTTCAAATTGGTTTCTGTAGGAAATCAGGATCAATCAGAGATGCTTTAAACTACCATTCTTTGCTAAATTGATTTGGCCAACCAATCATCTGTTTTTTGGGGCCAACCCAAGGTTGAAACCCAACTGACCTGGTGATTTCTGCCAGGTGCCATGAGTGTCAGGCGAGACTTCGCTGAGAATCCCATGGTTGATCGCCAGCTTTCCTTCGAATGGTATACGAGGTTTTTACGAGGTAAATCATGGTAAATCATGAAATCCTTAAAATAAGCATGTTAAAGCATATTAAAGCCCTTATCTTTTGAGGCGCTTTGTAGCGTCAAGAAATTGAAGGTCCAGTCAAGAAAAAAGGTGAGGATTTCACCACCTTACCTGCAGATATTTGTCAAAAAAATGTATGCTGTGAATACGAAAAGATACCGGATGTGTTGGTCCATTTCTGCGCCGTTTTCGAGCCATACCCATATTCCCGGTTGGATTTAAAGGCACAACATCCACACAAAAAGGGTGCCTATGTATGCCTATGTCATCTCACAAATGGAATGACAGATACAACAGAATAGAAGCAACAAAAAGTGCTACGCTGCATCCAAGCGGTTGGTTCCATCCCTCTGGTTGCCTGGTGATCAACGTGGGTTTGTGGGGACATTTCGATCACCGTTTTGCACCCTGATAGGATATATAGTTGTTCAAAGCTTGGGGCAGACCCATTGCCCCTGCTAAAGTAGACCAGATCACGTGAGTAAAGACCGGTCTTTACTCACATGCAGTGACTTTGACTCTCGTCGACAGTCGAGTGTAAGGAGATATACCGTTGGTCCACAAGTAGTTTTCAGGAATCCACAGCACGGAGCAATGCCGCCCTTTTTGGCTCAGACTGGCTCATAGTGGTTTGTTGTGTGAAAACTTTACGGCGATGCGATTCACTCTCTACCTGACTTTGGCCGGATGCAACTCGACTGAAAGTCCAGGTGGCGGCTCCATTTCATGTTGGAAAACATTTGGGAATTCCTCCGAAAAGAAATTTTGGTGCCTGAATGCCACTTGTTTGCTGTATGCATCAAAATGATGGATTTTGAAAACCCGAATTCATTGGAACCGGGATTATTCCATGCAGAAGCATGCATTCTGCATCGGGAGCCAGACATGTCGGATGTACCGTTGATGTACCCTCCATTCACACCAAGATGTGCTATTCGTGGACATGGTGAAATCCCCCATTTGTTGAAAAAAAGTCAAATTGTGTTAAAGAAATATCCAACTTGTCTGAATCTACTTGTTTTCACACAGCTTCAACTACAAGGTGCTGCCGCCTCGCGGGTGTCCTCCGGTGCCCAAGCCCAAGGAGAGAACCAGCTTGAAGCAATACGTGAAAGGCTATCCTTCGGTTATCATCACAGAGTTGTTTGGGATTTCTATGGATTTCTAACTTTTGGAGAAGTTGAAGTTGAAGCTGTTTGATTCACATTCCAGAGTATAACGGTTGCATCAGTGGGAAGGTTACCTTATTCAGATGTTCAGGTGCTTGCCACTGAAATCACACATGGCTAGTGTAAAGAGCATGCCACCAAGCCAGCATAAGTTGCCTTCAGTTTGCTTTCCTGCCTCTATATATTCAGATAATGGCTTGGAGTCGCTTCAGGAGTTTCCTCTGCGACGCAGGGTTTGCTCTCTCGACAGCAGGAACGGCTTTCAGCAGAAGATGTTTCTTGGCAATGCTGGCTTCATCCATTTAGAAGATGATTTCTCAATTGAATATTCCGAATGATTCTCTTTTTTCATCTTTTTTTCGGTCCAACTCAAACGTTGGCCAGTTTCCACCCAATCCATCGAGGGAAGGCATACTTGAAGAATTCTTGTAGGGACTCTCCAGTGAAGCAGGTTGATCAGCTTTTGTCCCCACCATTGCAGACAGTTCGTTGATTCATGGTTTGGTCCATCTGTTCATGGTGGGGGCACGGTTGGGCGACGTTCTGAGGTCCTCAATAGGTCTGTGACCAGCTTGGATCAGTCGACGCAGAAGAAGAGCAAGAAGGACGGGCTTGTGGCAGACATCCCAGATCCACGAGAGGACCTGAATTGGACGTTTAGTCAGTTTAGTCAAGAGCAATGAGAGGCAATGGTGCAGTGGTTTCCTTCGCAAAATCCGACAGCGCGGCGCAGCGCCAGGAGAAGGTTCCATGCAATGAAGCCGTCTCTGGATCTGGACCACGAAAAAGGCTGGGCCCTGATCTTCACCGCACTTGAGATGTTCAGCCAGCATCCTTGTATTTTCCTGTATTCCAGCTTCCAAGACCGAAATGAGAAAAAATGATAAAAGAATATGAAGAATAGATCTGGAATTCCCCATTCCATGGGCCCAGCTAGACTTTCAGATCCAAAACAACAAGAATGTGTCCTGAAACTGCATGCCAATCATTTGGAAGGATAGTCCACAGATCCCGGATTTTGAGGCACTATCCCACCATTGTCCAGGTAAACCGTGGTTGGGTAGGTTAATGGAAGGAATCTGTCATATCCTGCCACATCGCAGGACCCACCTCTTTGGTGGTGATTGCAAGTGTCCACCCGAACATGTGGTGGAAGCTTGGTGAAATGCTCGGGCGATGGGATCCAAAACATTTGGCCAACATTTCAGGTGTGTGAAAAAATTGGCAATTCTACTTGTAGCTTCAGATATTCGTGTGGTTTTTAAACTCAACAAATGAGACAATGATGCCAAAGCATTTTTGACGTTTTGGGGATCTGAAAGAATACTTTACTAGACCCTCTTGAGTTTGAATCGATCAACCGAGAAAAGCTTGCAACTTCTGCGTTAAACAGAAGAGTACTTTTTGGTCTTGGATATGTTTTGTGTTTTGTTGTGTTCGATCTGAAATTTCAAGAGTGTACGCTTGACAGCAGGTTGCTGTGCGGTGATGCTCCCCTGGACATGCCGTGAGGCGAGCCTTCAACCATGAAGGCTCTCAGTATCTCCGTCAGGTCGGAAGGTCCAACCACAACCAGGCAGTGCTCTTGCGAAGTGGATCCAGTGGAGATGGAAACCACATGGCTCGCTTAAATCGCATAACCACAGAGGTCGGACTACTCCAAGAATTGAAACTGCTGATGCCAAAAATAACGTCAAATTATTAACAGAACGACCCCTCATGGGAGTGATTGTTGCAGTAAAAATTGACAAAAATACTGGTGTTTACAGTGTCTTGTGACTAGAAGGGGGTTTAAACCGTTATTTAGAACAAAAAATAGAGTTTACATTAGCAAAGGCTGCTTGCACAGAACTAATTACAAGCAATGACTTGCAATTGCAAAAGCATAGTAGAAAAAATCTGCTGCACCACATGCCATAAGAATGGGTAGCTTGTGCATCTTGGATCTTGGAATAAATGGCTCATTATGTTTCACATTTGTCAGACAACGGATTGTTGGAATAGAATATACAGTATCAACAGGTGGCTTTTTTTGGAGGTGATGGAGAAATTATATTGCTACAAGCAGTTAATGTAATATAGTTGTTTCTTCATGAACTTGTTGAATTGGTATCATCTCAACCTATATTGTACATAGAATCATTTGCACTTGCAACAGTTGTGAAGATATTAAAGCTGTAGGTGCGTACAAGGATATATACAAGCACATCCAACTCTGAATAAGAAGGATGATGGGAATGTTACAACCCAAGAAGTAGGGTACATGTTTTGTTTGTCATTGTTATCTAGCAGAGCCTTATCAGCAGGCTCATTTTAATAATTAGAGAGAGTTAGAAAGCAGAGAGACAGAGAAGTATGTCATGCTGTTGACTAAGTTCAGGTCACCTGTGTGATGACATAGCTATCAAAGGATACTGGCAAACTTGCTTCGTTTAAAAATCAGTTTAAACAATGGCCAATCCAAACATACATGATCTAGCCTGCACTCAATGTGCAGCTGCCGCTACTATCTCTCCAACATAAGTAACATAAGTATCAATAAATTCAATAGATGAAGTGCTGGTTGTAATAGAATTTGGACACATTTTCTGTTTGTCATCCTATATCTTATTCTGCAGAGCCTTGTTGGCAGATTCATTAAAAGAAGCAAAGAGAATAGTCATTTTTGAACTTTGTGAAATCCAAACGTGCATGGTCTAGCAGCAGCCAAGAGGCAGTCGGAATTGCAATTCCTCCAACCGATGCTCGCAATAGATGAAGTAACGGTGAAAGCAGGTTTGATGAAATTTCGCTGTGTTTCTTGCTTGCTTTTTTTGGTACATGTCAATGTTTTGTGAGGTCAGAGTCACCAAACCTGCACAGGTACCATTTTTGTTTGTTTTGTTGTGCCTGTGCAGGTTTGGTGCATATAGTGGTTTGGTTTTTGTTTTGATTTGGTGCCTGTCAATGTTTTTGTGCATCTCATAACAATATCAGAATGATCATCTGATGAAAAAAAATGCGTTTTACTAGGTTTTCAGACCCTCCAAATGCATAAAACATCGGCAATACACTGTGATTTGATCATTTTTAATGAAAATTCACTCCCCTGCCGGGTGCCGCTCTCTTTATTAATGGCTCCAACCGAGTCTCTGCATTTCCATACCGCGGCCTATACCCCTTTTTTGTTGACTGGCTAATTTGCTTCAAAACCCACATTTATGCAGGAAAATCCTCCATTGATACACGTTTCCGTTTGTGAATTGCGAATTTGTCGCAGTCCAATCTATCTTTTTTTCTTTGTTCTGATCCCCATGATGGTTAACTCCCCATTTCCGATCATCCTCCCTTGTTTTAAGCAGAGCATGGACGGGGCTACAAATCTCGAGAATTTCACCGGTGCCCAAGGCAGGCAAATCATGGGACTGCGGTGATGCTTTGGGGAATCGAAAGTTCAGCAGCAAGAATCTTGGAGGAAACACATCGAAACACGAAACATCCCAACCAGAATAATAAGAATCCTGAGAATATTGGGAACACTGATGTCAAATATAGCAGTAAAAATAAACCCCTGAAATCAGACCCCAACATGAAACGATCCACTACTAAACCAGGGCTTCTGGAGGGGTGTCTAGAAAGAGAGGGAAGGGATTGAAAGAATCCAAAACATGTGGAAATCAGCAAGTCGGCCAGAACGAAGGATACTGGAACAACAAAGATTGGAAGTTGACTATTTTGTAGCTTTATCCTGCAAAGATGAGCTTAACAGCAAATGAGAGGATTATGAGCCAATGGAACCAACCAGCCATCATGTGAAAACTGCTGAACTACCAAAAGTATGAACTTGCACGACCTAGACTTCAAGTGATTCGGTCCAATTCAAAATGTTCAAGACCCCCGGAAAGCACTTGCATGTCATGTCATCCCAACAGTGGCAACTGATTCTGGCAGTTTGGGAACATGAATGGTATATCCAAGCACTGTGATAGGTTCGGCAATTGCAGGAATCATCGTTTGGGACTAGGGATCAATGCAATGAGACTGGCCCAGGATTGGACGTTCGAGCTGCTTCTGCCCCATGGCATGATGATTTGGGTTGTGTTCGCCTTGGGTTGACATTTCTGAAACCCTGCTGGTGCTTTCTGTTGTCGTTTATGTGATATGTTTGCTAGAAACTGGGATAAACCCGGGTCAAAGCTGGGTTAATATGAACTTTTTGGAGGGTCTCTGAGGTAGCTATAAAATGACACAGATTGCTGTTGATCAGTTTCTTGGAGCTAGGTGCACCAGTCAGCGACTGCGATGGCATGGTACAAGGACGAGGGATCGGCTTGCTATGACTGTGTTCAGGTTGCTCAGCAAACCCTTGAAAGAAGCAGTAGCTTGATATTGATCAATTTAGATGTCTCAGAATATACATGTAGATTTGGTGCTTATCCATTTTACTTACAAAGCCCCTGGTGTTTCTCCCATCAAATTCAGATCGGTCAAGATGTGAGGATTCGTGTTCTGATGGCCAAGGAAAAGATGTTGCGAAGATGTTGATGTTCGCTGCAACCCTCACGTTTCTCCATATTGCAACCCAGGTGACTAGAATCGGACTTGTCACGGGACCAACAGGAGTGGCAACCTGTGGTCTCACATCTTCTATGCAAAAAGTTTGACAAGGTAGGGGATTTTCAACCCTTCCCATGAATCAAGTTGATATCCCATTCAATATATTGTTAGCATATGGAGAAACGTCCGAAGATGTTTACATCCAGGATTCAGAGCCAGAACTTCGGTTAAATTTGTTGTGTTTCTGTTGATCAAAGCATTTTTTTCGTGCCAAAACTGGTTCACCAGGAGCGACACGAAGAAATTCATACAAGAAGAACCCAGCCAGGCGCTCCGCTTTCGAAAGCATGCGCTTGGGGATTGGAAGAGCAGGTGGAATGCACTTTGAAACTCACAATGCAGAAGGTTTTCCTGTTGACGCAAGACATATGACACATGACAGTTTAGCAGACACAAACCATGTCACTTGCATCAGAATTTTGGGACTCTACACAAACGAGAAACCGCTCTCTGAACTTTCTCTCTCCCTCGTTAACTAACTACACAGAAAAAAAAGTCACCAAGTAAGAAATCACATGGGTGGCGCCAATGTTTCCCATACCCGGACCCGTGTAGGCCTTGCAAGTGTGAGAACAAGGACTTTGTCTTGGAGGGAAAGGCTCTGGAAACCCGAGCTCATCACACCAGAGATTTCAACCATTTTCACCAGCTATGTCTAGAGATATCATAACTGGTTGAAAGTTTCAGTTATTTAACTTTCTTTGGGATCATCCCCAGATATTTTGGTTGAACCACGTACTGAAGAAAGTCATCTTTGAATCGACGGCCAATCTTGGCACAACAGCCTCTGTGCCAGGCACCTGAATGCGCAGTCTTCCTGGGCGAGAGATACTTTCCCAACACCTTGCCACCACAGGTTCGTCAGCGATGTCACGGCATGGGAACTGAGAGAAACATTGTTGGTACAAACGTGCCCCTTCCACGGAAATGCCTGCAATAGGTTCTAGCTTGTCAGTGTCTCAAGACTGCAATCATAAACATTCAGAAACTCCCAAGTAGACGGAAATGCGTTTGTCGCAGAAAGAGCATTTTTCCTTTTGGATCAATTGAAACCGATGTTTGGATCCCCACAGATGCAGACCGAGCCTCCACTCCGGCGAAGGAATGCTACTGCCATGAAGCAAACCTGAAGCAATATGCGTGTTCTGAAATTGCTACTGGGGCGGTTGACACAGCCACTGAATTGCTACTGGGGCGGTTGACACAGCCACTGCCTGAGATGTCGTTTCTTACAGGTCAACGGTCAACGCATATAGTTTTGACATGTTTTGACCAGTTTCCGGGCTGCTTGAGCTGTTCATCGTCCACCTGGCCTGCAGCACAACTAATGCCTTGGGCCCTTGAGGACAAAGAGAATGGCAAATGCATTTGCCCGGAGGGTACCTTCATTGGTGGTGAAGATCAACAGTGCAAAGATTTCTATGGTGCCCACCTCTTTCCCAAGAGGCACCAGGGTGTGGCAGTGGGATGGGAACGGTATCTACCATGGATGGTCTCAGCATATGATTTCAAGTGTTCAAGACCTGCACAATCCACGAGGCAGAATATTTCTTTGCCATTTCCAAGTTTCATAAGTGACATTAGTGATAAGCCCAACAATGAATTATATATACCATATATATATATACACCATATATATATATGTATATACACCATATATATATACCATATATATATGTATATACCATACATATATATATGTATATATATACCATATATATTTATGTACCATATATATATACCATATATATGTATATGCCATACATATATATATATATGTATATACCATATATATTTATATACCATATATATGTATATACCATATATATCATATATACCATTTATATTTATATACCATATATATATATACCATATATATGTATATACCATATATATATCAAATATACCATGTATATTTATATACCATATATATATACCATATATATGTATATACCATATATATGTATATACCATATATATCATATATACCATGTATACTTATATACCATATATATATATATCCATATGACCAAGATTATCTGAATATCTCTAACGCGGTTTCCTTTTGGAGTTGGACGGGACTTGATTCCTGACCGAGGCTGAAGCCTGGGCTGTGCACCTGTACTGCCAATGCGCTGCGTCCAGGAATGGGAGCCAGTTCTCGATGCCCGGCGATGCGTTTAACATCTTCCTAACACGTGTTCGTGACGTGTTCGTGACGTGTTCAAGGTGTGAACAGATGGCTTGATTTCTGCCCTCTACTAGATGTGAAGAAATTGCATGATCTTTAGTCAGGACTGATTGGCAAAACAACTGTTCCAGGTGTTTCTGGAAGTTGGGTTTGGGTAGAACTGACCAGCAAAACAGACTGAGTTGTTGAATATGTGTGGATTTTTGGGCTAATCACCAAGCCTTAGATGGCCTTCAGAAGGGTTGACATTTTCGACAGGGGAAGGGGTAGAGCGGAATCTTCCGGAAGCCTTGGCATCTTGGCCATGCACCAAGGAGTTGGCTTCGCCACACCAGTCCTCGGTGTACTGTTGTTGTGGATCATGTGATGGAGAGCGAAAATCCCGACCGCAATACCTCGGGATGGTTTCGCCGACCAAATGGTCACTACATTGCCCTGGGGGGTTCTTTACAGCTGGCTCACCCCACACTGATGCATACCGACAGCAGCGGACACTCAGGTTTTGACCCCGAATAATGCATAGATATCATAGATATTGTCAATACCATAGATTCGCGCAAAGATTTTGAGGCATCACTGTTGGTCCGGGTTCCCAGAATTGCGTGGCTCAGAAGCTGTTCAACTTTGGCTCATCAGCCATTACACGCAGTACACCAACAGGATTCGTCACATTTGGCGCAGGTCACAGATGCACGTCGCAGATGATTTTTCATGCAGCGAATCCGTTACAGTTTGCCTCAGATGAACCTTGATCCAATCAAAGTTTCACAGAAGCAGCAGAATGCAACAGCTAAGCCCAGCTAAGCCCCCCAAAGTGAAGTAGTCTGAGTAGCCTGGCATTTCTAGATGTCGCAAGATGTCACAATGATAGACAGCGTGCCTTCATTTGTGATCTGATGCCTTGCTGGCCAGTCTTGCGGATCGCCGATGAAGTTTGACACTGGTTGCAGATTTGCAGTGTCTGTTTGCGTGGCTGAGTTTCAGGATGGTAACCGGATGGTATTCTGTTTGCATTACAATTTAAATGACTAAAACCATGTTTGTCATTGTGGATTTCACCCAAAGTTCTTTTGGCGATTGTTGGTTTTGACATGTGTTGAGTTCTGGCAATTCTACTGTATCAAATCCACACCTGGGGCTGGATGTGCCAGGACCAAGGAGAGTGAGGAGCTGCGTTTGGCCGTGGGATTGGTTGTGGCGGATGAGCCAAGGCAAAAAACATTGGATTTGGAATGGATGGAAGGGATGGACCGGAATTCTGGGTACAAAATGCAATTGTTGTGCAATTGTTGCAAGATACTTCGAAAAGCCCCCAACTTCTTTAAAACGTTTTGCATGGGCAACCACGAACCGAAATCAGTTGCCTTGACGTGCTTGGCATTTGGCCAACTGCAGGAGATTGCCGCAACAGCTGCCACAGTGGTAGTTGGCACGTGCCCAGATCATGATGACCCCACTGTCCAAGCATCAGTGATGATAACATGTTCCGCTCCTCATGGTTTGTGTGTCACTGTTCTGGGACATGCACCATCACAGGCCATTTATTTGTTGCGCATGTTCCCTGCTTGAAGATTTCCATATTTTCCATATGTGTCTTAGGTATTCCTGGTCCGAGCTTTTGACGACATCCAACGTTGCACAGGTACGACGGTGGACTCTTGGGTTTTGGCCTCGAAGATGGCGCTGGGGAGCCAAGGGAGCCAAGGGAGAAAGCATTGGGTTGTGACTTTGTGACGATGGCACGACTGGATTCGGCTCCATATGTTGAAAGATGCGGCCACAGGAATTCATCAAAGCTCGGTATCAGCTCGCATGATTCTTTGACCTTGACGTCTCCACTCAATCACCCAAATCTCCTGTGTCTGGTTTCAAATTCAAACCTTCAATGTTGGTTAAAGCCGTTTAGTTAGTGAAGTGCCTATTTTTTCAGTCCACATGCTTTTTGCTTTGCCATTTGTTTAGCCATTGCCGCTCCGAGGCGCAACGCTTTGGCTATGCACCACACGTGGGCTGTGTCAAGGCCTTGCACTGCACCGAGGCGAGGAGAGCGAAGTCATGGGCAAATATGGGCGGGTCATAGTGGAGCCTAAAGATGTTCAAACATGTTCAAACATGAAGCATCAGTTTGGTGCCTAATCCATTTTGGGGCTTTATCGCAGAGAATACGTGTTTTAATTTTTGCCAAAAGTTCAAATTTCGACAGTATATTAAGACATGTTAAGACTAAGTAGGTGGAAAGTGAAGAATAAACTAGGTGAATCTGACGTGCTTGGCGCCCATCGCAGCATCATGTGATACCTCATTGGAAGTTTCATATCGGTTTTGTTGTCGAAAATCAGCTGCCCTGGCATCTAGCTTGCCAGACCGGAAAGCTGGCGACCGGTGCCACCGACAATGCTGTTTCTCGGTGTAGAATTCCCTACTTGTGTAGCAGCAACTTGCGGTAACAAAATTGCTCGGTATTCAAGAATGTGAAGAGGCATAAACAGTTTTAAATACATTCAATGTTATTACTTGTTATGTGTGTCACATATCTCACCTTCAATCGCTGGCGAACACTTGTTCGGCTCCGTACCAGATAAGCCGCAGAATTCACCGAGGCAGTGACCCAATCAGCCCAATCATCAATAGATGTTCCCAATAGTTTTTTAACATGTTCATTTTGATTCATTTTGTTGATCTTCCTTGAGCTACGATCATCCTGAAAGTACATGTCACGGTGCAGGAAACCTCCTTGGATCATACGGATTTGCTGGTTTCAAACATGGTGAACCTGGTGCTGCGAAAAGACATGCTCACACAGATGAAGCACTTCAGACCCAGCCAAGTGAAAAGCGAAGACTCATCAATGGTGATCCTAAATTTGATAGCTCCCATTCCCAGTTGACATGAGCCTTTCACTGATTAGAATGTGATGCAGCAACATATGGGTTTGTCCAGAAAAGCGGTACCACCTAGAATCCAGTTCCAAAACGGCTATGAATTGGGTTTTTGATCCGCAATATTTTTTTTTCTCAAACCCAAAACCTTGGTAAAATCTTTGGCTGCGGCTTTTCAGGTTCGACTCTTTGACCTTGCAAAGGGAGTGGAGATGGGCGAACTCCAGGAGCACGAGGAGTGGATGTCTCACATCGTTTGGATGGTTTTGGTGGTCAAATTTGTGGTGAAAAACGATGGCTCGATGGAGTTGTCGAAAAAGTTGTTGGTTCAGTGGGTGGATTTCCATTTGGTTCATTGATGTCGTGCCACACAATACATGCAATACTCTCACCAAATAGCTGGCACTTTTTGTCCCACATCTCCCAATGATAATCGGAGGATTCCGTGTCGGCGGTGCAGTTCTGGGGGTCAAACCTCATCACTGGCAGCAGCGGTGGCCAGGCACGGGATCCGTTCTGGCGTAGAAGATAGCGATCCTTTGACAGGCTGAATTTATGGAATGATTTTGGTCAAATTGGAATCAAAGGATGATTTTATGATTTTGGACCTTGAATGACCTTCAAAGGATCGAACACTTTCAGGGATGTACTTTTCAGGATCGGCCTCGCTGCCGCAAGTACGTTTGGTTCAGCTCATGAAGACAGGTGATTGGGTTTGGAACGATCTGGGCAAAATCCAAGAGCTGCATTGCAAATTCAATGGACACGAATGCAGGTGAAGTGTTTGTAAATTGCAAGAAAGTCTTTCAAAATCTGGAACTCTCATTGTATGTTCAATTACCTGTCGGTTCTATGGAACGATTCCCGGTGGCAACAATCCGAGGGACACGTCTCGCTGTCAACCTCCGAGGTGTGCATCTGGCGCTGCGGTGACTACGAGTGCCACCGACAAATTCAACCGACTTCAGCTGTTTGGAGGATTTGGGAATCTCGCAACTTTCCCAAATGGTTGACACACTCGCCGTAAATGGTAAATGGTGATACAATGGGGATAATGATGATATGGAATGTTTCTTAAAAACTTGGAATCAGTGGAGAAACCAACCCACGCTCCAGAACATTCCTTCCCCGTTGCACAAACATACACCATTGGAATACCTTCATGTACTGGGCCTGGAAAGCTTTGGAGGATTAGTATGATCTCCCATGAAAGTGAGATGGTAGTTATGGTATATTTCAAAATGTCTTTCCAAAAATGTGTGAAACCAGATCATAGATGTTCATATTTGATGATAGATACTCATAGTAATTTCATAGTGTTGCTGATGCAGTTGGAGATTTGAAACATGTTGAAACCACGAACCTTGCCAGGCTACTGCTGAAGTTTCGAGGTCACAAGGCCTGGTGTAGCATTAATTGATGGTAAAGACAAATTCCATCAAGCCTGCTGAGGTTTGAGGAGTATATCACAGCTGGCAGTGGATAGAAGCTCGCAGTTCCTTGATTTTTGCAACGAAGATTCGCCCCAAAAGAATGGGAGAAATCATAGGTCCAAAGCAGGATTGAAGTGTTGACGCCAAGTGATGGCTTTAACTGCATTGTGAATTTTTGTGTTGGAGCAGGATATCTCTGGCAGACAGACATTTCGTTGACACTCGCAGGCAGCAGTCACCTGCCTGGCTGCCGGGGAGACTCAAGGGCATCGGTCAGTTCATTGGGTCGACCATGGAACAGCCAAGAATCAAGATTGTTCTTAGAATTTCCTAGCCATCCAAGTTCCCATGTTTTGATGCTGGTGGTTGTGAGAATTGGTTTGAAGGCGAGGCTATGTGGCTCTAGCATGCCGTGGCCGCTGAGATCCATCCTTCTGGTCGGGTGATGGCAAGTGTGATCCTAAGCTGGCTGCGAAAGGTATCCAAAATTGAAAGCAGAATGGGTGGAGTTCAGCACGAAACCAATGCCTAAGGGGTTTACAAATCTTGCAACAGATCCACATGAAATGATGGCAACGCCTCCGGAGGGCAGGTGGCGTCGCAAGTCAACTGGATCGTTGAGTGCTTTTTTTGCATCACATCAGCGAGAGGTACAAAGGGTTTTCTGCTGGATTCTCATGGAGTAGGCCCCGTGGCGAAACCATGCATTCCCTGAGGTGCGGGCCGTGACCAGCGAATACAACTTTGGGCCCCCAACTCAGTCACCAGATCCATCAGGCTCTGTGCGTCCCAGCTGTCCAAAGGTGTGGAGGTGTTTCCTAACGTGAGGTGTTATGTGTTATGGGAGCTAACCTGCACTAAGAATTGCTCAATCCAGGTAACAGAGCCCATTGCACAAAAACATCCCGCCGGATCGAAAACCGTGCTCATGAAAATAGAGTTTTACAAGAAAATGTGTGTTTTACCACAGCGAGGCAACCATTTGTGTCACTTGAAAAGTGGCAAATTTGGACGTCCAAATTTGGGTGTGTTTTGGGGAAATTGTGTTTTCACTACAGTTAAACACAATTTTCTTCTCTATTTCGATCGGGCAAATTCAGGCATCCTTTTTTTCACTCGATCTTTCGCAACATCTCTGCAGTCTTCTCAAGCAGCTTCTTGTACTTATTGATGAAGCGCCATTGCCACATTTTGGCATATAACATGACATCTTTGTGCCTGGCACCCAATGAGTTTGGGATGAATTGTTTGCAGCTGGTCCACGCAGCATCAATAGTGCTTGGCATTTGATGGTGGAGCGGCCGCGCTGGACATCTTTCACAAATTCGCCACGATTGTGTCGCACATACTCATGTAGCAAGGATACCAGAGATCTCTGCAGCGTAGCAACATGTAACGTAGCAAGGATACCAGAGATCTCTGCAGCGTAGCAACATGTAACGTAGCAAGGATGCCAGAGATCTCTGCAGTGTAGCAACATGTAACGTAGCAAGGATACCAGAGATCTCTGCAGCGTAGCAACATGTAACGTAGCAAGGATGCCAGAGATCTCTGCAGCGTAGCAACATGTAACGTAGCAAGGATACCAGAGATCTCTGCAGCGTAGCAACATGTAACGTAGCAAGGATACCAGAGATCTCTGCAGCGTAGCAACATGCAACGTAGCAAGGATACCAGAGATCTCTGCAGCGTAGCAACATGCAACGTAGCAAGGATACCAGAGATCTCTGCAGCGGAGCAACATGTAACGTAGCAAGGATACCAGAGATCTCTGCAGCGTAGCAACATGTAACGTAGCAAGGATACCAGAGATCTCTGCAGCGTAGCAACATGTAATGTAGCAAGGATACCAGAGATCTCTGCAGCGTAGCAACATGTAACGTAGCAAGGATACCAGAGATCTCTGCAGCGTAGCAACATGTAACGTAGCAAGGATACCAGAGATCTCTGCAGCGTAGCAACATGCAACGTAGCAAGGATACCAGAGATCTCTGCAGCGTAGCAACATGCAACGTAGCAAGGATACCAGAGATCTCTGCAGCGTAGCAACATGTAACGTAGCAAGGATGCCAGAGATCTCTGCAGCGTAGCAACATGTAACGTAGCAAGGATACCAGAGATCTCTGCAGCGTAGCAACATCTACTGTACGCACTAGACAGAACGTTAACACCCCCACCCCACCCCACCCCCCACCCCACCCCAACATAACCCCCGACGCCCCGTTTGCGAAAATGTACGTTTTAGGAGCACGGTTTTCGATCCGTAGGCAAAAACATGACCCATTGAAAATTGGGGATTGGGTTTATCCACGGAAATTTAATTCTAAAATGATCATAAATCATAAATGATCTATATATTCCAAGTATATTCCGAGACGCCGCTTGGGTCGCTTTCAGGATCTCATGCGGGGCACCAGTGCAGCACATCTCTCCGTGCCGGAGGCGGTGGAGGCTCCGAAGTCAGGTGAAGTCTTAGGCACCTTGGTGGACAAAATTGGGAATTATATATATATATATATATACATATATATATATATACATATCTAAATATCTATATATATATATAATGTATATTGATAGATGATGTCTCAATATTAGGGAGAGAATATGGCGATGAAATCTGGGAGGATATAGCCATTGGTTTTCAAACGAACCATCCAGTTTGGGGTTGATAAATTTGGACCCCCGTGATTACTATCAGGAATGTCTATTATCAGGCTATGTAGTGATGAGCTACCTACCTATTTTACGAGGTTATGAGCGACACCGATGAAGCTTTCCAAATCTGGCCCACATGATTGAACTTCAAACCAAGTTGGTGAATCTGAAGATGAACCAACGCGGATGAGAGTGGACAGATGTCAACAGATGTGACCGAGTGTGACTGGACAAGAGCAAACCTGATGATAAATGCGTTATTCTGTTATTCTCCTTGTCAAGCCGCCTTCGATTTGCCAGGTCTTGGACTGGTCGCCTGATGGCAAGAGCATCGCATGCTTAAGCCCACGAGAATTGGTGGTTGTTGAGGTGGCACGTGGGAGGATGCGGGTATGTCCCAACCTTGGGTCCAAAACAGGTCTGTGAAGCTGGTCTAGTTTCAATGATGAGTCCTTACCTAGTACCAATTACGAGGGTTCGTAAGCCAGCGATGCCATTGCGGGAAGGGCTCATGTGCGCTCGAAGTATAATGTGTATGTTAAAGATGTGATGTTGTTCCAAAAAAATGATTTCGATGTCGAAACGGACTTTTCAAATTGATGCGCTAACAAAATCTCGCACCAGACTTTTTATTAGGCAAGCTATGATCTTAGTCGGGCTTTCTTCCGATATCAACAGTGTAAGGATTCTTTTTTTGTTGCACCACAGCCCCTTTTTCTTCTCTTCTCATCCTCCCTATCTTTAAATAATTTCTATGAAGCTTATCTCCATCAAACTTGTCTCTATCAAACTTATCAAACTAGATTTGTCAAACCTGTACCTATCAAATGTGTCTCTCTATAAACCTATCGCTGTCAACTTACCACTATCACTCCTATCTCTTGCTCGATATCACTCTCCGCTTGGTTTTTTCTTCCCTGCTTTACAAATACGAAGACTCAACACGTGGGATTATCCGGTCCTTTAATTTGTCTAGCAGGATGTGCTTGCTTTTGAGATTTAGAAAGTGCCAAAGGCTTTGCACGAATGCCCCGGCAGCACGTTACCTTCTGATCTTCAAGGAGGGGGCACTTGCTAGCAAAGTGCAGCAAAGTACAAGTCAGGTTGTATTCCCAGCCAACTTGTGGCCATAGCTGCACCTCTCCAATGGCTCTTCCTCAATTTTTTCTCCATACCCACTTGATCTCACTGCAATTTCTGGGCTGACCCCACATTGCGCCGGCAGGTGATTTCCAATTCGGTAGCTTCCTACAAGGATCCCAACTCGGCCTTGGACTTGGTGACAACGGAAACCTATGCACTTTGAAAGTACCATTGCACAAAGTCTTGTAGAGAATGCTCTTTCAGGCGGTGAGGACGTCGTGTCCTTGTAATACACTGAATATTCTGAGAGTTATGCGAGCCATGTTGTGGTGCTCTTCCAAGGCGGGCTTCATGAGGGTAAGCCTAGCGCACGACTCAGCAACAGCACACTGTCCATAGAAATTTGGATGAGAAACGAAAAAAGGTTATAGATAGTTTTGGTTCTGTAAGTTTTGCATTGGCACAGCTGCGGTGAACCTGTCAGTCATGGAGCCGATCACTTGTCTTTCAATCAGTCATCGATCATTCGGTCTCTTGTTCATTCAGTCAGTGATTCAAGTGGTCTTAGCAAGAGTGGCATGATGGCCCCCAAAATAATTCGCATTTCTGTCATGGGAGGTACCCCGTCATTGTTGGTGAATGGCCCTCTTTTCTACAGCCGTAGCAAAGTTTTTTGCGCAGAACTCCCATGATCGAAGGAAGTTTAGAAGTCAAACTTCCGACAATATGGACAGATGAGAAGCAGAGCAGGGCAGAGGCAGAGAGAAGAGAAAGATCAGAAGAGAAAAGAGTAGAAGAGAAAGAGTAAGAAGAAAGAAGATGGAGATGCGCGAAAAGGTAGGAAAGTCGCGATTCACTGTGTTTTTCCAATGATTTGTGGCTCCGGGGGGTCGAAAAGTAGGCTCGCTAAAGCAGCGGGTGCGGAGCCATCTGGCCAGAGGAGAGATGAAAAGTTGCACGCCGTTGTGGCGCGAAGCACATTTGGAAGTCAAAATGTACAAAACACACCATTGTCGGACCACTTTTGGAAGTTGAGATGTCGAAAAAGTGCACGCCGTTGTGGCGCGAAGAACATTTCGAAGTCAAAATGTGCAAAACACCTCAGCGTCGGACCACTTTTGGAAGTTGAGATGTCGAAAAAGTGCACGCCGTTGTGGCGCGAAGCACATTTTGAAGTCAAAATGTACAAAACACACCAGGTTCGGACCACTCTTGGAAGTTGAGATGTCGAAAAAGTGTACGCCGTTGTGGCGCGAAGCACATTTCCAAGTCAAAATGTACAAAACACCACATGTTCGCGCCACTTTTGGAGGTTCGGATGTTGAAAAAGTGCACGCCGTTGTGGCTCGAAGCACATTTCGAAGTCACAATGTACAAAACACCACATGTTCATGCCACTTTTGGAGGTTCGGATGTTGAAAAAGTGCACGCCGTTGTGGCGCGAAGCACATTTCGAAGTCAAAACACATTTCGAAGTCAAAATGTTAAAAACACCAGGGTTTCGGACCACTTTTGGAGGTTCAGATGTCGCTTCACTACACTACATTACACTACACTACACTCCACTACACTGCACTACACTACACTACATTACACAACACTACAGCTACACAACTACACAACTACACTCCACTACACACCACTACACTCCACTACACTCCACTGCACTCCACTGCACTAAATCACACTACACTACATTACACTACACTACACTACATTACACTACACTACACTACCTTCCACTACACTTCACTACATTACACTACACTCCACTACACTACAACTACAACTACACAACTACACTCCACTACAATACACTCCACTACACTAAATTACACTACACTCCACTACACTACAACTACAACTACAAATACAGAACTACACTCCACTACACTAAATTACACTACACCACACTACATTACACTACATTACACTACACTACATTACACTGAATGACACTGCACCACAGATAGACAGGTGGACAGATAGACAGATAGATAGATAGATAGATAGACAGATAGGTAATTATTAGATGAAAGAGAGAGAGATAGAGAGATCGATAGATACATAGAAGATAGATAGGTAGGTAGGTTGATAGTCAGAGAAAGAGAGAGAAAGAGAGGAGACCTCAAGCACGTTTCGCTCCATCAGTGGCTTCGCTCTGCCATTCCTGATTCACAACAACCAACCTCTCCTATAGGTTTCCTATTTTTGAAACTTCCGCCACCGCCTCGTGCGGTACTACTGGTAGTCAACTACACTGGGGCGGAAGTGGAAACTACAGGTCTCTCTCTCATTTGTGTAATTTGCGCAGTCAGGCCCGCTTCCTTTTTCTTCTTTAGTCTTGTCGATAGGTCCTGAAAGGTCCAAGGGGTTGTTTGTGTTTCGATGGTGCTGAGACGGCTGTGGCGTGGTTGTCGTCACAACTGTTGCCATCTTAGATCCTGGGAGCAGTGTTCTGAAATGTTGTTGCTGCTGCACGCTTCATGTTTTTTCATCTTGAACCTTCGAAGATGTGTCTTTTTGCCGCTGCATGGCTGAGGATAGCTCTCGGTGATGGGCGTGGACTTGTCCAGATCTTCAGAAAAGATGCTGAAACGCTGACCCAGGCCACTGCACGAAAGGATGGTGCTCCTTACCAGTTGTGACAGCCTGAAGCCATTGCTAGAAAAGACCTACTTATTCTGCTTGCAAGACTCTGAAGTTCTTCGCTAAACTTGTTGGATGTTGGTTGGCAAAGCTACCATCCCCCGCGAGGTGTGCAGAGTCCCTCGGGACGATGTTCCAGGCCGCATCAAATCGCTGCTGAAGGTGGATTCCACTCTGCTGGTGGGTGCCACTGCCATGTCCGAACATTGAAGATGGATGCCGACATTGGAACGAGAAAACCCACAGATGGACAAAAGATCGGGAAAGTTTCAATAAGATGAGTGGAGGAAGAACAAACAATGACGATGATGATTATGGCGGTGATGGGTGATGCTTGGTGATGGATACGGATGACGATTGCGTGTCCAGTCCATGGTGAATAGTGGATTGGACAGTGAATGGTGCCGCGTGCTCAAATCCTTCCTCCAGGGTTTTGCCATGCCAGGTTTGAGCACTGGCCAAGTGGAGGCACAGCGTCAACCTGTTAGGCCTTTAGGCCCAAAGGTTAGCACTGGGATCATGGATATCCTAATCTGAGTGATAGGGGGACATCTCCCACATCAAGCCACTGGACATTGCCAAGCAAAGTGTGTGATTAAAGAACTCGAGTGCGCATTTCCCGCTGTCCTAGATTGTGATCCATAGCCAAAATCTGTTGGATTGTGCTCTACATGAGGCTTTGGATTGTTTGAAAGGTTGTTGCATCTTGCACGACTACTGCTGATACAGCAATAAAGAAGACACAACCATATAATACTATACATAATATATATATATATACACATATAATATATATATATATCTATATCTATATCACCTAGTCCCTTGGCAGCTGACCTTTGAACAGCCGGAGGTGTGGAGTTTTGACACCAAGGCAAGCTTGGGCAGTGCATCGGGAATCACCATTGAGATGTAACAGATGGTTTGACTGTGTAGCCACCGGACCCTCTGCCAGGGAACCCTTCAAGAGAGCCATTTCAAGAAGCTTCGCGTGGTTGACACCAAGCCACTTGCCGCAGATGTCCTGGGTCGATGATGGCACCGCCGAGAATTGCAGAAAGGATCAACCTTTTCAGACGTGCGTTTTGAATTTGGTCTTTGAATAGCTGACGTTATCAAATTAAGTTAAGGTGACATAGGGTGTGAAATCAACTTTGGCTCGCATTGAAAACTGTTTGTCCATGAGACAACGTCGCAGGACAGATAGCTTGGTTTGCACTGGGACCTGTTGAAGTTTTTTGTGGAATTTAAAACCCAACGGAAGGTCGCATGAAATCCTGCAGCCAAGTTGGATCCACTGAGGAGCCGCCTCACCTGTTTGGCTGTTTGGGCCCCTGGCTCCTCTGAGGCCGGCGAAGGGTCGGAAGATGCGATCGGAACAGCTTAGACGGTTTAGACGGTTTTAATTTGAAAGCTTGTACTATCAAAAATAGTTTGGGCAGGTACTCGTAGGGCCTACATACGGTGTGAAAGAATTGGTTGCTCATGAACCATGTCAGCCTTGTTTCTGCACGCAGTGCGATGGACTGGCTGCGTGTATGTGTGACATCTCTTTCGTGGGGCAACATGCACCAGATAGATCAAAGAAAAAGTATGTTATCCGCGCGTACGGAATGTGATGCACTGTGCTGTAAGGTCATTGCATACATAATTTTGCCATATAAATGCAACCCTGCCCTGCACAGCAACTGCACCTTTTCAGGTGGCAGAAGCTCTGGCTGGTGCAGGTGGGGCTTCAGATTTGGGCTTCAGCCGCTTTGGATGATCCGTTTAACGCTACTGGTCACCTTTCTCCAGCAGATTGAAGCGCCAGGGAAGGCGAAAAGAGCAGGAAAGCCGCAGACCCCCAAGACCGGGGAGTTGCCGGTAAAACAGAAGGCCACGAAGGCCGAAAAGCGAGGCAAGTTGGCTGGAAAGCTGAAGAAGAAGCGGTAGCTTGTAGACCATAGCAGCTGCATGAGGACTTTGAAGTTTGTAAGGACAAGACCCGCAGAGGAACGGAAAAATGGTTCGAGCTATTTCAGACTTGTTGAAAAGGACTGGTACTCACCCAAAGTCATGTCTCAAACGAGGGGCAAGCCGCTTTCATGATGGTTGGTGGAGCCATTTCTCATTGGTTTCACCACGGTCGTTAGAGACACCGCATCTGTGGTGAAAAGTTTGCCGCGGCCATGGAATTGAATGGTTGCGGACCATGATTAATGAGGGGTTGCCAACAAAGTTTAGATGTTCACCGCGAATGAAAACCACAGAAATTGTTCATTTCAGCACCGTGAGTTTGGGGGATGCCAAGTATCCATTCTTTGGAATTTCAATTACATGGTGATTGATCCTTGTTTGACAAGATGACTGCAATGGCCTGGATTGGGGAACTATGAACCTTTTGGTTCAGGTGCACTGCCTGACCTTCCGCTTTGGTCAGAAATTATCACCTCGAATGAATTGCCATGGCTCATGCTGTGCGCATCTGCAGGCAGCCAAAGCAACCACACTTGAGCAGAGTGGCACGATAGGGTGCATTATATTTTGCTGACGCTTGCAAGTTTGATCCTTCTGGAATGCGAGACCGCGTCTGAGGCAGTTTTGTTTACAATGCATTTTTGTGAACAACGTTCGTCAGATTTTGCCCAAAAACAGCAACAACGTTTTAACTATTTTCATATCTTGGTGTTCCAGATATTCCCGCATCGGTTTCACCTTTCATAGGTGCCTTTTGATCGGCTGTGGCATGAGCCATCCTCCCCTGGCCTTGTGTGGCACAATGATAATCGTGTGCTGTGCTGGGGGCCGGTCGCCTAGAAAAGCTACCTTAAGGCATTTCCAGATGGAATGAAAAGCCATGATTGGGAGGCAAGCTGGGTGGCACCAGTGAAGAAAGAGGCGAACAGGAACTTGCGTCCTTCATCAAAGTATCTTTTCCAGTGAAGTTCGATCGATGTCCATGTTCTGAGGACATTGACAACCTTGTGAAAAGGTGTTGTTTCCAAAAAGAATCATCTGCCAATCATCTGCCAAAGGAATCAACCCCAGTGACAACAAAGCAGAATGCTTGTCAAAGCTCCTCTGAGGCTGGAACCAAGGCTGCATATCACGAATTGCTGCAGCTGCAGGAAGGGGGCTAAATTTTAGCAGCAAGTTGCTTTGGGTGAAACGGATAGTATGACGAAGGTGGCTGTGGTTGCGGTTGTTGCTGCTGATGTTGTCAGTGGTGGGTACAATTGAACGTCATTATCTATGGCATGGTGTCTAGAGTAATTAGCTTAGTCCTCAGGGAGCTACATTTGAAAGATGCCAACGAGCTGTTTCCGTTTGTTTCTCAACTACTGAAATTTAAAACGGCCAAAAGAAGCCACTGCACAGCTTCTACAAACAGCTGAGAGACAGTTTTTGCATTTCCACGGCAGTAATGAATGCACCAATCCCTCTGAAGCCGCTTGACGCATGGCCGCTGGGAGGAGCGTTCGAAGAAGCTGACAAGGGTTCGTCAGGGTCCTAGCGTAGCTCTCCAGGAAACAGGCCGTGAAAGCCAAATGGTTTCGATGCCGGACAACAACTACAGTAGGCGGTTTGATTTCGCTTCGTTTTAAGTTTGCGACCAGGTCTTACCCACAAGAAAATAGTGAATCTAGGCTCTTGATCCTTCGGCATCATGTGTGTGATGGGGTGAATGAATGTTTCTTGGTCGTGCACAATGCGCACCACTGCCGTTGACATTAGCCTTCTTCTTTGATTCATGAATTTGTCACACCGCCCAAGCCTCAACAACACTAGGACAGGTGCACACCCCAGATTTCACCGCAGAAGTGCAGTTTTCCAACCTACCACCCATCTCGCCCATCTTGCGACCAGGGGAAGAATTGGAGCAACGGGGCCACCTCCGGCAGAAGGGCGTAGCCATTCAGGCCCGATTTGGTGACAGAACACTTTGCATTTTTCATTGGATTCATGGTGGGGTTTAAGTAGGAAATTGTAAAGTTGTAAACCGAGCTAAGACATGCAATTTCGTTCTTCTCCGCCTCTGGCAATCTCCTCAGCTGCATGCTTAAATGCATGTGCTACCTTTCCGTTTCTTCCATCAGGTCAGTGAAGGTGGCAAGGGTAAGCCGGCTCAGTACAGATGGCTTGCAGAACGCAAGCGGTAGTCCTGGTGGCTGTTTGAAAAAGCGGTCTTGGAACCTTGAAATTCATCTGAATTCAGGCAGGAGTTGGCAACAAAAATGTATGAAAGTTGCGGCTTGAGCGCTGCAGATGCTGTACAAAGATGTGTTCTGGTAAGATTGGGTTTTCAGTGTTATGGAAATTGTTGGACGACTTTTGAAGAGGACATGACCGGCCCACATCAGAAGAACAGCAATCAGGATCTGATCAATGTAGGGCTGCCAGCCCTGCGTAGCCCGGCTGTGGCTCATGTGTAGCACAGACTACGACATCCTTCAAAACGGATCAACCGCTACTACATGCTCAATATTCTCCTCCTTTCGGATAAAAAATTATGCCTGAACAAGAATTAAATAACTTTATTAAAGGAAATTTAAGTAGAAGACTGCCCAATTATGCATAATTTTATTGTTATGGTTAGTATTCCCACCGTTATGTTAATTACATTATTATGTGAACCATTTATTATAAAATAGTTACGATTGTAGTGTAGTACACTCCCAGGCGCGAAATTCTGTGATTTTTGAGGTGAAGTAGTTTCCGTGACTGTCGAAGCCGGATTTTTTTCTAGCATTTCGAGGCTCGACCTACAAAATCGTCGAGAGAAAATAGGTCACGAAAGGTAGCTCCAGAGGGGCTACCTTGAGTTTTACTTTACGAAGTAAAGGGGAGGGCGGCCAGCCCCGTTACCTGATTCTTCAGGAGATTGCTAGTCATTTTAGTACCCCCCCCCCTCCACACCTCCCACGCACCCTAAGAGCAGACTCAAAATACTGTAATTTACAGTATTTTTGTTCTTTTCGGATCAAGAAACCACATTTTGCTACATGGTGAAACCTCCGTAAATACCAGTGTTTTTGCTAGGTGCTGGCCAAAAAACACTGTAAATACCGTGCTTTTTACTACCAGAGGCAAAAAACATCGTAAATACCGTGGTTTTGGGCTTCCGACCCGCCAAAAACATTGGTATTTACGGTGTTTTTTGCTCCGAGCGATGCAAAAACACGCGAAAACACCACCGATTTGACGATTTTCGGCCACTACGGAACCGAGCAAAAACGCTGCAGGGGTAACACCAACACCGACAAGAACAACACCAACAGCAACAGCAACAACAACAACAACGACGACAACAACAACAACAACACCAACAACACACAACGCACAACGCACAACGCACAAAGCACAACGCACAACGCACAACGCACATCACACAACACACAAAACACGCAAAACACACACAACACACACACACACAACACACAACACACAACACACACAACACACACACACACAACACACATACAACACACACACACAACACACACACACACAACACACACAACACACGCAACACACGCAACACACACAACACACACACAACACACACAACACACACAACACACACAATACACACACACACAAAACACACACACAACACACACACAACACACACAACACACAACAACACATAACAACACACCACAACGCACAACAACACACCACAACACACAACACACCACAACAACCACAACAACCACAACAACCACAACAACCACAACAACTACAACAACAACGAACAACGAACTGACACACAATAACAACAACAACAACAACAACACACAACAACACACAACAACACAACACAACACACAAAACACAACACACAACAACACACAACAACACAACAACACACAACAACACACAACAACACACAACAACACACACACCAACACACAATACACACACAACACACAACAACACACAACAACACACAACAACACACACAACAACACACAACAACACACACACACAACCCAACAACACACAACAACACACAACAACCCACAACAACACACAACAACACACAACAACACACAACAACACACAACAACACACAACAACACACAACAACACACAACAACACACAACAACAACACAACAACACACAACAACACACAACAACACCCAACAACACACAACAACACACAACAACACACAACAACACACAACAACACACAACAACACACAACAACACACAACAACACACAACAACAACAACAACAATAACAACAACATCAACAACAACAACAACAACACGAACACAAACAATACCAACACCAACAACACGACCAACAACACCAACACCACCAACAAACCCAACCACACCAACAACACAAACAACACTAACAACACCAGAAACACTACCACCACCAACAACACCAACAACACCAATACTAACAACACCAACAACACTAACACCACCAGCACCACCAACACCACCAACACCACAACCGCTACCAACCCCAACCACATCGCCGAAGCCTTTTAGTCGCTTTTACTAGACTCCCCTTCATATTTTTGGAAAGAAACTGGCCGCGTTACTTTTACCAGACTCCACTTTATGTTTTTTTCCCTGCCCTCTTCCCTTTATTTTTTCTTCGGTTCCTTTTTTGCTTACCTACCTTTCGTGTTCCCCCTCTCAAGTTTGTGATGATGACATTTTGATTTGTATTACAAAGCCGTTTAAAATTAAGGTATATGGATTATTTTTGGAAAATTATATTGATAAAAGGAAAGCCGATTTATTTTTTTTGTATACTAGGTTTGGAATGGTTTGGATTTTTTATAGTTTTTATATTTTTTATTTAATTAATATTTTTTTTATTTAAATATTAATAATTTTTTTATTTTTATATTTATATTTTAAAAAATATAAATAAATATATTTATTATATTATTTATTGTAAATTAATTGAAAAAAAAATAGAAAACAA